AGATGGCATCCTGCCTAAGGAGAAGTTTCTCCTTTCTTCCTCCCTCCCTCCGTCTCTCTCTCCCTCCCCCTCTCCCTCTCTCTTTCTCTCTCGTCTAGTGGCTGGCCCAAGGCAACTCAGATGGCATCCTGCCTAAGGAGAAGTCTCTGCTTTTCTTGGAATAAATTTGACGCTCCTTCTCCAACCTATCCTCCCCCCCACTCTACCCACCCATGTGTTGAATCTTCAAAGCCAGCGGGGCCTTTGCCTAGATAGGGCCTGCAATTCCAACACAGCCGAGAAAGGAGCTTTGGAAGGGGGGGGGGGGAAATTCGCTAAACACGAAGCCTCTCTTTACTTCTAAGGGAAAACTGTGACAACAACCTGGAAGATGCTTTGAAGCCTTTGAAATTGCGGGCGTTGCGGGAGGGAGTTTTTGAAATGCGAAATGAAGGCAGCTCTTGGAGAGGGAACTCTTTCTCACCTGGACTGGAGGGCGAAGAAATTGGCCGAAGTAATATAGCATAAATCAATTGGGTGGGGGGAGCGCAGCCCTCTTTCCCCGCGAGCTCACATAGCGCCCGTCTTCGACACCCCCCCCCCCAGGGAGATAAAGGGGCGGAGGAAGGGAGGCGCCTCCACTCACTCTTTCCCTCCCCGCGAAACTCGGAGAAGCGAAAGGAAGGAGAGGTGTGGTCCTTAGAAGCGATCCAGTGGTGCTAAGCAAGGCTCCTGTTCTGAATCAGTTTTCTCCCCCGTGGTGATGCTACGAAGATTGTGGTTTTTCTACCAGCTGGGGGAGCTGATGTAGGAGAAGAGCAGGCAGAACTGAGGGGCGGAGTCATCAGTTTTAGAGTCCTTGAGTTCCCATAAGCGCTCCAGGTCCAACTCCTTCTGAGTTCTGCTGGCCCTTCTCGGGTGGCAATTTAGTGTTGAACTTTAGCTACCCAGTTTCTTGCTTCTAGCCTTGACTGAGTCTTCTACACTGCTGCAATCTTTACCAATGGCTTCTGAGTCTTTGCACTTGACAGCTGTGCTGGCAGTATGGTGGCCATTATCCAGTTTTCTTGAAAAAATAAGGTAAAGGTAAAGGTTCCCCTCGCACATACGGGCTAGTTGTTCCCGGCTCTAGGGGGCGGTGCTCATCTCCATTTCAAAGCCGAACAGCCACCGCTGTCCAAAGACGTCTCCATGGTCAGATGGTGATCCAGGTTAATCTATCACTTCGAGCTCCGGAGTTTTGCTTATTCAAAACACTGACTTTTCCCCAAGGTAGCGAGGACCCAGAGTTCAGTT